CTAGCCCGAATCATCATTATTATTCTTTAATAAAAAAACGTTCACTCCTAAAAGGCCAAAATAAGAAATCTGAACTGATTTTTTTCTTCTATTAAAGACTAAATGATTCTTAGTTTAAATGTAAAACATATGGACAATGACTAAATATACTTTTGAACTATATGTCAAACAAAAAAAATATATCCTTCAACTTTATTTGTGAGAACAATTAAACATATGAATTGTAAAATTGGAGCACATAAACCATTAAACTATTTATTAGTGAACATATAAAGAAAATTTTAAGGAACTGACTTCAATATGGAGTCGTATAACATATGTGGTCTTATCATAACAGTTCATACTATAATAGGGTCCTCCCCTATAAAAATAAGTGGGGATGCTGAGGCTACATATGCATATATAACTCAATAGTAGAGTCATATATAACTCTTTGAAACTTTTGGAACATTTATACCCTTAGCTATATATATCATGGAACATATATATACCCTGAGCAATTTGGATATTAGGGTAAATTTGTTCAAACTTTATAACTTTTCTTTTTGTAATCATATCTTCTCTATAAAATCTTTAACTAGGTGTGGTTTCCTTGACAAGATGCATTAATACATTCAAATAGCTGCCTTAGAGGTCAAATTCCTGTGCAAGTATTTATTGGTTTGATCTGTGCACTTGACTTCTCTAGTTTATAATTTTACTTTTTTAATGCAATTCTTGAGGTTTGATGAGGTGATATATCTGTTATCTAGTTGGCATTATACAAAATTTAAGACCAAAGTAAGGTCAACCTTGAGTTGTGCGATTCTCTGATTGTAACGAGAATAATTTATTGAACAGAATTCTGGCTAATCGGCAATCGGCTGCTAGATCAAAAGAGCGAAAGGCGCGTTATATATCTGAACTGGAGAGGAAAGTTCACACCCTTCAAACTGAAGCAACCACTCTTTCTGCTACACTCACTCTATTCCAGGTTTGTTCAAATGTGTGTGGGTATCTTCCTCAAGATCATGATTCGGGAAGAAATGTTCTGACTTGGTATGCCTAGCACTAAGGTGTAGTTATTGCACTTGTTTTTTAACACATAAATATGTTATTGGTTCAAATGATATTAAAAGGGTCAGAAATTTATAATCCTAAACTTAGACATGAACAAATGTACACCTAGATCTCATTTTGAATGAACAGAATTAACTTTAACTAGTTCATGAAGTTTATCATATTTCCAAATGCTCTATTTGTGTCAAATTGTGCTAAGTTTGGGGGTTTCAAGATTTCCAAGAACAAAACAGATGCAAAAACTCTCCATAACTTTGGGGGGGGGGGGGGACTCCATAGAAAATTTAACTTCATCCGTCCCAAAAAAATGTTAAACCATTAGCGCTTCCTTTTAAGTGCAGAGGGATACCACATGTCTAAGTAACGAGAACGCTGAGCTTAAGCTCCGTTTGCAAGCGATGGAACAACAGGCTCACTTACGTGAAGGTACCCATGTACAACACCTCATGTTTTTCGTTTCATTTTCTTGCTTTTGTCTCTTAGTCCTGGAAAAAAGCTTCAGTCACTGAATGCTTGCTGTGTGCTTTGTGGGGTCATTTTGGCATGATAAGGGTGTGGGTTGTTTATGTGACCCCACATTTACCTAAGTGGGAAGCACTCAGTAGTTAAATCACCCATTATTTAGTGTTAGGTCAACCTATACTGAGGACATATAAACAGAAACTATCGTATATAGTTTGTGATCTTTTATGATAGAACTAGCAGTCTACTATTCAAGCGTATAATGTTTGAGTTTGTCAAGTATTCCTCATCAGATGTTTATTAGATCAGTGGCTAACATTTAAGTATGAGGTAAAGCTTGAGTATCTTTTTGGGGTGAGTTATCTCAGCCTTGTTTGATTGTAGTTTGTTTGTTTACTTAGACTCTCCCATCATTTATGGTAGCCCATTTAGGTACCCTTAAGTTATCCAACTGATTTAGATTGAGATGTGAATGCTTATCACATCTGTGGCTTATATATAAGTATGAGCTAATCCTAGATATGTTGGACCACTTAGACCAAATTGAAAATAAACATATCGTTTGACTCCGATAGGCCTTTCCACAAAATGACATCACATAGATCTAGATTGATTTGATCTAATGAACCATCTCTTTTTAGGTTGATCTTGTAGAACATTGAATGTACTATGAAAATACCATAAATTTAAACTTGAATGCAGCCGAGTTCAAACACATTTTGTTAAGATTTGGCTTCATCCTATCAACCTGATAAAAGTAGCCAAGATCTTTTATAACACTATTAAATTATATTTTACCGATGTGGGAAATACTTCAAACACATTTTGATTTGAATTGGTTATATCCATTATCGCTCATTTGCTCTCTACATGCATGTTCCAAAATACAGCAATAAACAAAGCATTGAAGAATGAAGTTGAAAGACTGAGGGTAGCTACTGGGGAAACAAAGGTCCCTTCTGACGTCTACAATTTGGGAATGCAACGAATTCCTTATGATAATCAACCAAACATGTTTTCACAATCAGGCCCGACAAACAATTCTCAGAGTATGCAGATTCCGCAATATCATCAGCCCCTCCAATGGCAGAAGGATCCTCCTATCGGTCACTTCCAAGGTCTTGATATCAATGGCAGGAGCTCCCATGTCATTAAGACCGAAACCCCATCAATATCTGCCAGTGAAAGCAACAACAGTACAACCACATTCTAATCCCTATATACTTTTATTTATTGGATTGTTCATAGACCTGACCCCCACAATGTTTAACGTGGCATAGAAACTATCTCACCATTCTTCAAGGGCGAGGATGACCGTCCGCTGCAAATGTTTGTGGTTAACGAATGCCTCATCACCTCATACTTAAACAAATACTGCAGTGGACAGTATCCTGGGCTTTTCTTCTTCAATTCGTTCAATTTTTCTTTCTTTTAATTACCTTTTCGCCCATGTCCATGGGCGTTCACTTGTTGTCTTTTTGTTCTTTTGGTTCTTGTTTTTTTTGGGGCTCAACTTGGAGAAGCATTTCTTTTTTGTTGTAATATTCATGTATTAATAACATTCCAACTCATTGTTGAACTGTTGTATCAAGTCACTGGAGGCATGAGTCTTGTGCTGATTGGTTCTACACTTGTACTCATGCTTTTATAGTTATTAGTGGACTAAGCAAAAAACACAGGGATAAGTACTACACTCTCTTCAGGAGTTTTATATACAAAATTACAATTTGTCACTGTACTAAGATCATTTGGGTTCTATTTTAAAAGGACCAATTCAGAATAATAAAGTACAGAGTATGTGGTATTTTCATATCACATTTAAATGAAGTACCCATCTGTCTTTAATTTCTTTACTCATCATAGCCTTCATGCCTATTCAAATTGGTAACAAAATTTAGGACCAAGGCAATATATGGACCGCACCACCTAATTTTACTATTTTGTTAGAGAATTTAGGAGGTGGGGAAGTGAGGGTGATATTTTTAGAAATATTTTCTATATTTAGCGGATTGAAAATGAAGTGAACAAAAAAAATAGTTTGACATACTCCCTCCATCTCATAAAAGTGGACCAGTATAGAAAGTAAGAACTGAGTGATTGATATTTGTTAAGAGAAGATAAATATGTTCAAATTTAAATGAAATTGATAAAGTTTTGGGGTAGATTAAATAAGGAATGATGTATAGATTGTACGCTTTTTGATAAATGACAATTTAGGAATTATTTTGTCTAACTGTAAATCTTTTTAAAGTGTAATGTAACTGATACTTCGTATTAAATTCATGTTTGAACTTTAAGATTGTGTGATCTGGCAGACGGGACTAGCGACGAAGCATCTTCTGGCTAGAATTAAGTTTGGGGGATCGGCGCCGCTGTGTCCCAGGACAGTTGGATTCGTGGGTGGACCTAGAAGTTCAGGCGGAAGGACTCTGACAATCTGAGCACAGACCAATTGCCATACGTTTGTCTGCGACGGACTTGGTCGGGTTGAGTGAGCGCAGGGGAGGTTCGGAGCTATTGTCTGGTGCGAATTTGAGGGCGTAGTTCTCATTCGAGCTTTTGAGTGCTCTGGTGATACAATCTGGTGCTTGGTTTCGATTAAAGCTACCGTGGGGTAAGTTTCTGGTTTTGCGAAGGAGATTGAGCGCGTGAACCATCCAGAGGAGAGCAGGACATTTGAGAATGGCAATTGTCAGTTGGAATTGTCGGGCCTAGGCAATCTAGCGACTGTTCAAGTTCTGGCTGATGTGGTGCAATCAAAGAGGCCGAGGATCGTATTCCTCATGGAAACGAAGGCGACAGGGAGTCGGTGTGAAGAAATTCGAACAAAGCTAGGGTTCCATAATTGTTTTGCAGTTGATTGTACAGGTTTGAGCGAAGGACTCTTTTGTTATGGAAGGATGGAATTAATGTTGAAGTTGCCAGATATGGCACAACTTTCATTGATTGCACAGTGAAACTGGACCCAGATGATCCACCATGGAGATTTACAGGATACTATGGTTTTTCGGAGAGAAGTAGAAGACGAGAGTTCTGGGATTTACTTAAAAATATGGCCCAATTATCAAATCTACATTGGCTTGTGTTAGGCGATTTCAATGATATTCTAATTGAGGGTGAAAGGAGAGGTGGGCTGCCACCGGCCCCGTGGTTGCTTCAAGGGTTTAGGGAGGCGGTTCACACCAGTGGGTTGATTAATTTTCCTTTTGACAGATACCAATGGACGTGGGAAAGGAGAAGAGGATCGCATCGATGGATTGAGGAAAAACTACTGTATTCTAGCCAACGAAGACTGGATGTCTACCTTTGAGGGCTACACGACAACGTCATTAGAGGGACCCTCGAGTGATCACTTGATGCTCTACATCAGATTGGCAGGTACGATGAGGAGCAGGAGGAAAAAATTCTTTAAATTTGAGAATATATGGATGATGGAGGAAGAATGCAGGGATGTGGTCCAACGAGCTTGGTCCAACTCCGGTGAGCTGACCATTTGGGACAGATTTATGGGCTGCGGAATTGAGTTGGAATTGTGGAGTAAGAAACATCGTGTTGGCTTCCAAACTCTCATAGACGTGTGCAAAAACTGTTTAGCATCACTTCGTGAAGAAGGGGGTAGATGGAACCGTGCTGAGTTCCAACGGGTCAAGGATGTGCTGATGGACCTTCTTCATAAGCAGAGTATATTTTGGCAGCAAAGAGTTCTGGATCGGAGAAGGCGATAGGAACACAAAATTTTTCCATAACGCTGTCAAGCAAAGGAGAAGGAGAAATAGACTGAAAGGTTTATTGACTTCGGTGGGTGAATGGGAACGTGATAGAGGCAGACGGGGGGATGATCTGTCATTATTATGAGGAACTTTTTGGGTCCAGCAGATCGGAGGCGAATGGCTGTTCTGTGGAAGGGCTAGCAAGAGTGACCAGGATTCAGAATCAAGCGTTGCACAGTCCTATTACAACAGCAAAAGTGAAAAAGGCAGTTTTTGCTATGCATCCTGACAAGGCCCCCGACCCAGATGGTTTGAATCCCGGATTTTATCAGCATCATTGGGACATTATAGGGGCAGACATTGTCAGGTATTGTCAGTATCTCTTTCAAGAGGGCCATATCCCAAAAGAAATTAATAAAACTAATTTGATCCTTATACCTAAAAAGGATAAACCTGATAACCTGGGTAATTCAAGACCTATTGCCCTTTGTGATGTGGTAATGAAAATTTTTACTAAAGTGTTAGCTAATAGGATGAAGATTATTCTTGATAGACTGGATTCCGCCAACCAGAGTGCCCTTGTTCCTGAAAGACTTATAGTGGATAATGTTATGATTTCTTTTGAGACATTACATTATTTAAAGTGTAAAAGATAGGGAAATGATGACTTTGTTGCTCTAAAATTGGATATGAGCAAAGCATACGACAAGATGGAGTGGAACTATCCGGAACAGAATATGGACAGTATGGGTTTGAATACCCACAAGATCAGGCTTGTTCGCAGTTGTATAGATACGGTGGAGTACTTCATCCCTTTGAGGGTGATATGATGGGTCCTATTATCCCTAAAAGGGATCTGAGACAGGGAGACCCTTTATCTCCTTATCTTTTTATTTTAGTTGCTGATGCCTGAGTGCGATGATCTGTAAGCACGAGAAGATGGGAAACATGGTTGGGGTGGCGGTGGCGAGAGGAGCTCCTAGAATCTACCATTTATTTTTTGTTGATGACTATTATCATTTTTCAGAGCTAGGGATGATGAATGTCAAGCGGTAAAAAATATTCTGAATACGTATGAAGCAGGATCAGGCCATCAGGTGAATTACCAAAAGTCTACAACTTTGTGCAGCCCAAATCTAGAGGAGATAAATAGGGAATATATTCGAAACTTTTTTTGAGTCAACATGGAAGGCCATTATCCGAACTATCTCGGATTACCAGCACTTGTGGGGTGGGAAAAAAAGAACATCTTGGGCTACCAGAAAGAACGAATTGTTGGAAGACTTAACAGTTGGAAGAACAGGTTTTTATCTAAAGCGAGGAGAGAAATAATGCTCAAGACGGTGATTCAGGCATGCCCACTTACGCCACAATGTTTGCTTGCTGTCAAAGGAGATGTGTTCTGAAATAGAGACAATTATGAATGGGTATTGGTTGAAGGGAGCTGGCCAGAATAAGGGTGGGATTTGCTGAAAAAATTGGCAGACCCTTTGCATACCTAAACAGAAAGGGGGATAGGGATACAGGTCCTTGAGGGAATTTAATATGACTATGTAGGGAAAACAAGCTTGGAGACTAGTTCAAAACCCCCAATCCCCGGTGGGAAGAATATTAAAGGCCAAGTATTATCCTAACTCTTCTTATTTGCAGGCAAATCTGGAAAATAATCCCTCTTTTGTTTGGAGTAGTATTTTTTGTCAGGTTTTCACCTCTCCAGCTCAGACCACGCTCAAACAGCACACAATCAAGCACCACTAGAAGGGACAGTCACACTCAGGTCAGCCCAGCCATCTCAACGCACAGCATGGTCAGAAAGGGGAAGCTCACAGAGAATAACACAAAGGGATCAAAGGAGAAGAGACTAAAAGTCTCTCTCACGTTCTCTCTAACCTCACTCTCTCTGACCGAAGACCTCAATCGCTCAAAGAGGACAAAGGGGGGCTTAGGTACCAAGGGCCACAAGGGAACCCTAATAGAGGGTTCCAGAACAAGGCTAGCGAGAAACAACATGGGTCGGTGACAAGAGGCCAGAGAACAGGCCCAACAAGAAGGAGAGGACTGCCAAGGCTTTATGGGCCAATATCTCCACACTCTCCACCTTATTGGCCATTGTTGGTGGTGCAAGGTATCAAAAAGTAACATGAGCACGTGGTTCATCATCGCTGGGTCACCAGTGATATCCTAAAGACATAACTGGCAAACAAATTGGTGATACACAAAATACTCCTAAAAGAAAATCGGAGAAGTACCCAAGGTACTCTCCCTAACCGTGAGAGCAGATTCTCTCAAGCACTACGCTTTCAAGAATCCGCACTCCCAAAATACCCAAAACCTGCAAACAGAGTTAACCACAGTCCAAATTTAAAATTTGTTTACAAGACAACAATTTTTCAGCAGACAGACACTTCGTCCCCATATCTGCTAGGTTGAACTCTGAGGGTATCTTGCACAGCTTCACCTAACCTCCATCTAAAACATCATGAATAAAATGGAACCTCACATCAATGTGTTTGGTCCTATCATGAAAGACAGGATTTTTGCAAAGCTGGATAGCACACTGGCTATCAGAAAACACAGTGACATCCTATTTAAGAAAATCTATTTCAGACACAAGACGTCTCTACAAAATGGCTTCCTTGAAAGCTTCTGTAGATGCAACATACCCAGCTTCAGTGATTGATAAGCCAACAATAGGTTGTAACTTAGATTTCCAACTAACACAAGAACCACACAAAGTGAACACATAGGAAGTGGTAGATTTCCTATTGTCTCTATCATTAGCAAAGTTAGAATCAACATAGCCACTCAGTTTCACACCTTCACCACACTTAGAAAAAATCAAACCATGATTTGCAGAAAATTTCAAGTATCTCAAAAGCCATTTCAAAGCATTCCAATGAGGCATACTAGGATTGGACATAAATCTACTCAAACAGCTCACAGCATAGGCAATATCTGGTCTAGAAGACTAGAACTAACCATCAGATACATCACAGAACCTATAGCATTAGAGTAAGGAATAGACTTCATAAGCTCAATTTCAGAAGCAGTCTTAGGAGACATATTAAACTTACTCAAAACCTTCTCAACATAAGAAATCTGATTTAAAATAAGAGTATGCTTGCTCCTGTCCCTAATAATGTTAATCCCAAGTATCCTCTTGGCATCACCAAGATCTTTCATAGCAAAATTCTCACAAAAGCATTTTTGAACAAATTTAATAGATTTAAGACAATGGCTTATAATCAACATGTCATCCACATAGATTAACAAGAACACATGAATAGAGTTAGTATTCTTGAAATAAAGACAATGATCACACGCAGATTTCACAAATTTCATAGACTACATACACTTGTCAAACCTAATATTCCACCGCCTAGGGGATTGCTTCAGGCCATACAAGGCCTTCCTAGGCAGACAGACATGGTCACTCCTCTTGGGATCCACAAAGCCCCCAGGTTGAGTCATGTAAATTTTCTTATCCAATTCACCATGCAAAAGTACAGTGGTGACATCCATTTGTTTCATCTCCCAGTCATGGTGAGCAACCAAAGCCAACATGATTCTAACACTTGTAAACTTAACTACATGAGCAAATATTTCTGCATAATCTGCCCCCTCTTTATGAGTAAACCCCTTGGAAACAAGCCTAGCCTTGTACCTAATGCTGTTACCAGGTTCTTCATTGACCTTAAACAACCACTTGCACTCAACTATTGAGCTGCCATCAGGTCTAGGAACAAGGGTCCAAGTCTGGTTCACTCTCAGAGAGTCCATCTCACTTTTCATGGCCTCAAGCCATCTCTGAGACTCTCTGGACCTTAAAGCTTCACTATAGGTCTGAGGTTCATTTAGGTCTAGAACCTCAAACACAATAAAAGCAAAATAAGATATATCATAAGTAGTAAAAGCATAGTTAGGCAAAGTATCAGATTTTCTCTTAATGGTTCTTCTACTCCTATCCCTAACAAGTTGGTAGTCATGCAAATCAACATCATCATTCTCAACAGAATCATCAAACACATTGGTTTCACTAGACACAGAATCATTATGCACATGGTCATCATGAGTATTAAACTCCACCTCACTAGAGGTAGCAGTATCACCAGAATCATTAACATGCACATCAGAAGAGACGACAGGTACAAAAGGAGGAGTGTCATGCATAACAGGAGGAATAGTAGGCACATAAGGGGGCTGAGGCTCCACCTCAACAGGAGTCCTCTCAGGCTCATGCTCAGAAACAGTTTTAAGCAAGCAAGGGAAATCAAACTCATTGAAAATAACATCCCTACTTATAACCACCTTAAAACCAGGCACACTTCTATCCCACATCCTATACCCCTTTACCCCATCAGGATACCCCAAGAAAACACAATTTTTGGATCTAGGATCTAACTTATAAGTTTTCTGATGAACATATGCAGCACATCCAAACACCCTAAGGTTTGATAGGTCAAGAGGCCCACCGGTAAACTTAACTTCAGGGCATTGACCCCCTATAGGAACAGAGGGAGATCTATTTATCATATAGGTGGCAGTGGTAACTGCTTCACCCCAAAACTTCTTAGGTAAACCTGAGGTAGACAACATACATCTAACCTTATCAAGAAGGGTTCTATTCATCCTTTCAGCCACCCCATTCTGTTGGGGGTGTAGGGCACAGTCATATGTCTCCTAATGCCTGAAGAGGCACATAGTTGGTCAAGCTCTTTGTTACAGAACTCCAGACCATTGTCAGTCCTAATGGTCTTAACATTATGTCCAGTTTGATTTTCTATAAGTAACTTCCAGGCCTAAAACTTCTCACAAACATCAGACTTATGTTCTAGAAGGTAGAACCACATTTTTCTAGAAAAATCATCAATTAAGGACAATAGGAGCACTAGCATGACCCCAAGCATCAGCATGCACATATTCAAGCACAGAGGAGCACTTAGTCATATTAGGATAAGAAGATAGAGGGAATTGGACTCTATGTTGTTTACCAAGAACACATGATTCATAGAAAGTCAAAGAGTTCACAGAGTCTTTACCAAAGTAACCATGTTTATGCATGATTCCTAGACCTTTATTATTCATATGCCCTAGTCTATTATGCCACAACAAAGTTTTATCAGCATACACAACATTCGCAGAGTAAATATAAGGTTTAGCATGACACACATAAAGATTGTTCACCTTTTCAGCTTTAAACAACACCAGAGAATTTTTCAAAATTTTCATGCAACCATTCCCCCACTTTCCCTGTAATCCAGTACACACTAAGGCAGCAACAAATAACAAGTTGTGACACAAATCAGGGACATGCCTCACATTCTTGATAGTAAACACAAAACCACAAGAAAACTTAGGACATAAATC